AAACTGTATCCACCACGGGCCGGGAGAGTTGTCTAGGAGAAGCTGAGAGAGGAACCCATCCCTCTGGATTGATCATCAAGTTCGGCAGAAGGCAGGCAGTGTGGTCTGTTCCTGGCGCCATCACTTTTCAGCTGTGTTTTGCCAAGTCATACCCTCCTGAGCCTCCATGCCGTCTCCCATCAAGTTGCGGTATCACAACATTTGTCCTTGGCTGTCTCTGTCCTTTGTCCAGTATTCCAGGGGAACAGTTGACTTCTCTGTCCTTGGGAATCTTCTCTCCCCACAGTGCTGCTTTCCTAAAGGCCCGTGACCTTGTCTCTTGCCCATAGGTGATTGGCCTATAGGGTAGACACCTGACTAGAGCTAAATTAATCCAAAGAAAATGGCTGTGGGCTAGAGGCTCAGGAGCCATCACTGGCCCCATGCCTTCTTCCTGGAAGCCTGATCTAAAGAGAAAGGAGACGGGCAGCCAGTTGCTAAGTGGCTCAGCAGGTAAAGGTGCTTGCAGATCGTCACCAAGCCTGGATCTGAGCTCCAGCCCCAAGAGCAACACAGGAAAAAGGAATCAACTCTTACAAGTTGTCCTTTGACCTCTGTAGGGGCACCCCCCCCCACACACACACACAAAATAGATAAATAAATGTAAGTTAAAAGACAGAGGGAGAGGGACTGGAGAGATGGCTCAGTGGTTAAGAGCACTGGCTGCTCTTCCAGAGGACCCAGGTTCAATTCCCAGCACCCACATGGCAGCTCACAACTGTTTCTAACTCCAGTTCCAGGGGATCTGATACCTTCCCATCAGTGCACATAAAGTTAAATAAGTTACTATTTTTTAAAAAAGGCAGAGGGGGAGAGAGAAAATGAGAATCACCTAACAGTATTGGGGCCCTGGTGGCAGCTATTCTAAGTCCGTGGAGTCCCTGGCTGGTTGGCATTGGGTTTTAAGAGCCATACTTCCTCACCAAGCATGGATGGGACCCAGGCAGCTCATGGGACTGTGCTTAGTAACAGGCCTGGTCCACTGTAGCTCAGGCCACATGAATTCTTTTCCCTAAATGGACACCAGGCAGGGATAGGGCTTGGCAGGGACATCAGGAGGATTTGGAGCTGCACTTCTCATGAAGTGACAGAACTTTGCACTGGTTGCCGGGATTAGAGTCAGGTGCCTCTGAACCCTGCAGAGTCCTCAGGGGACCAGAAGGAAATCCAAGCACCATACTGGGATCTGGGGAGGACTGGGCTGAAATGATAAGGACCCTGCCCTGATGTGTTGTGGGAGAAGTGGTCAGCAAGCACATTCTCTGTGCCAGGGGTCTTACGCCAGATGATGGGTGCAGACCCTGAAGGTGGCTGTCAGGACAGGCCTTGCTGAGGAGGGAGGAGGGAGACATGTAAGCTGGCTTGTCAAGGATGAGCAAGAGTTTCCCGGGAGGGTAAAGAGATTGGGAAAGGGTGTTGGACTATCGAGACTCTGTGTGAGTGTGGTGTGTATATGTAGTGTATGTGTGTGTGTTGTGTGTACGTGAATGCGTGTGTATGTGTATTTATATGTGTATGGTATGTGCAGGCCAGAGGCTGACGTTGGCCCCCTTGCTCTAGCACTCCTCCCAGTTAGCCCCCTGGGATCCCTTGTCTCTGCCTCCAGCTCTGGAGAGCTGGGATTACAGGCAGGCCCCACACTTGCCCTGCTTTTATGCGGATGCTGGGGACCAGAGTTCTAGTCTCTATATTTTTAATGTCAAGTGCTTTGGGAACTGAGCCATCCCCCACCCAACCCCTGTCTACCCATCTTAACTGCTACAATTAGTCCAGTCCAGACAGGAAGACTGAGGGCTGAGGCACCCCAATTGGTCCTGTTTTTGGTTGTGAGCTGCCTGATGAGGGTGCTGGAACAGAGTTTGGGGTCCCACGCAAGCGCACCAAGCCCTTCACCCTTAAGCGCTAAGCCATCCACCTGGCCCCAGAAACTGTTTAAAGACTTGAACGAGGTAATGTTCGTAAAAATATCCCAAACATCATCTTTGCAGACACCTGTGAGCAAAGCACTCAACAAATGCATAGCTCATTATGAAAATCTTTTACTTGATCACGTCCAGTTCCTTCACGTGATCATCGCTGTTATGTTTACTGAGCTTCGAAGCTCAGTTGGTCAAGTGTTTGCAGAGCATACACGCAGCTCTGGGCTTGATCCCCAGCAGTACATTAATTGCGTGGAAGATCAGAAGTTCAGGTCATTCTTAGCTACATAGGAAGTTTGAAGCCAGCCTGGGCTATGGGAGACCCTGACCAAAAACAAAGAGTTCCGAGCAACTGAGAAGTGACCACGATTATCTCTGCTGAAGACAGATAAACCCGACCTAAGCTACACCGAGCCACGTGTGTATATTTGTTTAAAGACGTTTGGCCAGATCAGACAGGATGGGGTTAGCCTCAGGACACACAGCAAGGGTAGGGGCGTGGAGTGAACGGGTTTATTTATGGGCTCACTTTAAGGGGCTCCTGAGGCACCCCTCAGTGTGGCAGTACACCCATCAGTAGTGCAGAGAACAGGGGTGGCTGGGAACTGGGGGGCGCAGGCACCTGATGAGGCTTCTCGCCTCCATTCCCACCCTCCCCCGGTTCAGAAGAGGCGCCCGCAGGAATCCTTTCGGGTCTCTGCCTGCAGATCCGCCACATCCGATTTCCCTCTCCGGACCAGTTCCTTCCCGGCCCCCCGCGGTTTCCGCCAAAGGTCCTGGTAGAAATTTCCAGCTCTCCCGGGACGGGGTTTTTCCGACAGGGATCGTCTTGGGCCGCAGAGGGAAGGACAGGGCCTGAACTCCCCGCTTGCCCTGTCCCAAGGTCGCCCTGCGCTTTGAGTCCTGGGTACACGCTGACCCGGGCCCGGGCTCGGAACGTCCGGCAAACAGGAAGAGAGACAAAGGCGACCGCTTATCGGGCCGCCCCGCATTCCTTTCAGGTGATGCCTGTGGGCTGCCAGGGCCCCGGTGAGGACCTGGCTCTGCTGGTGACTTAGGGTTCCCTTCTCAGGTCCTCCAGACAGCTCCTTGCGCGTTACTGGCTTCTGCACTCAGAGGGACCCACAGCGAGTCCTCAGAGGGAAGGGAGATGAAAGAACAAACTAAAGGCCAATAGGGTGTGGTGGTGCTTGCGGCTGATTTTAGTGTTTGGGAGGTTAGAGGCAGGAGGATCAGTTCAAGGTCATCATCAGCTGTATAGAGAGTTCGAGGACTACCTGGGGTACTTGCTTCGGGAGACTGTCCATGAAAGAAAGAACGAGGAACCAACTCGTTTTGCAGGCTTAGACTCTGGGAGCTTCTAGTGCAAACACACAGACCCGCAAATACTAGGTGAAAGGGCAGGTAGAGGAGAGCGGTGGAAGGAGGGGTCTAACCCACGGTGTGTGTGTGGAGGGGGGATGCCCAGCATCTTACACATCACTCACCCTTTACAGGTGTCCTGTGAATAAAGAATCCAGGACCTGGCTTTGAAATAAGAGTGGGACAGAGGTGAGTGTCTGTGGAGGGAGCGTGTCTGGACGGGACCAGAAAGTCCTGGTAGTCTGGGTATGTGCTCATCATTTCATGAGCAGAGAGGCCTTGGGGCTGTCATATAGTTTCCTGTAGTCCTGGGTGTCCTTGAACTTGTTCTGTGGCCTTCTGTATCCACCAAGAATGCAGGTGTGCACCAGGCCCAGAGGGTGTGTACCACCCAGGCACAGGGTAGAGGGTGTGTACCACCCAGGCACAGGGTAGAGGGTGTGTACCACCCAGACACAGGGTAGGTAGTTAGTTAGATAGGTCTCTGGGGTCTTGAAATCAGGCTGAGGCCTGGCATGGGAGGACAGCCCTGACTATATGTGACCCTTACAGAAAGGGAAGAAGAGGATAAGAAAGACAAGGGAGGGCGTGGAAGAGAAAGGGGGGAGAGGTTCACATAGAGCATCACTGGCTCTTAGGCACTGGGAGCCTGGGGACATCCAGTAGGGAGAGGGCTGCCAGGCAGGCCCAGCTTGCCTCAGGAGTAGGAAAGAGGAGGGTCCTGCTTCTCTGCCCGCTGAATTGCCTCTGTTAATTGGATGACTGGGCCACACCCTCCCCCCTTTCCTATGCTGTGCTGACTCAGCATCTGAAAGGTCCTTCCCATGCCAGGGCAGACAATCTCTGGAGGTCAAAGGCCATGCTATCCAGGTCCCTCCCCCAAGTGGCTGGACACTGACAATTAGAACTAGAAGAATACTAAGATTTCTTGTTCATCCATGCCTGCCTGCCACACAGTGATGTACAATGCTCTGCCCCTCATCCCTCCCCCTCCTCTTTCTGTCAGGGTCTCATGTCGTCCAAGGCTGTCCTCAAATTTGCTACCTAGCCCAATGATAACCTAGAACTCAGGTCCTCATGCCTCCACCTCCCAAGAGCTGGGATCACAAGCCTGTGCTGTCGTTCCTTGCTTGAGGGCAGTTCTTTCTGTTGTCTAGCCGTGGGCCACCCAACCTCTGACTTGGTTTTCTCAACTTGAAGAGTCCAAGACACTGTAATATCAATACTTTGGTTTTATTTTTAAACAGTGAAAAGAAAAATAAATATATTTAAAGACTAAGAAAACAGTACTGGGGGTTTTGGAAAGGTACAGCCAGCATGGAGGCCAGGGAGATGAGCAGAAACAACCAAAAAGAAAAGGGATAAGAAAATGGGAATGGGTCTGGGTGGTAGGAAGATTGGGGTGTCTTAGCTCCTGTGGTCCTGGGCTGGCAGACCAGGGACCTGGGATCTACATTCCCTCCCTGCAGTTTCCATACCAGGCCCTGTCCAGTTCCGGCTGTGATGTCTGGGACCTCCACCAGCCTCATGCATCTTTGGCTCCCAGATCGGGTGTTGCATTCGTGGATCTGTGTGTATGTGAATTAGCACCTGGTTCCCCTGACTGCACCCAAGTTGCTGCTTCATTGGGCGTGGCCCCTAAGGCCTCTTCCATGGCTGTGGATCCCACCTAGTGGCTGCCACTCATTAATGCCCCATGTCCTCCATTCCCACACGGCCCCAGACGCCTAGCACGAAGCTCTCAATGTCACACTCGTTGGTGCCACGCACAATTCGGAAGTGGCCCCTCTCACCCCACCACGGGCCCCACGAGTTGGCAGCAGTCTGGAAGTGAAGAGGAGAAAGACATGAGGCAAGGGATGGGCGAGGGCCCCAGAGGGCAGGGGACGTGGGGCTCAACCTTGCACCAGGGACTCACCCAGTATTTGATCGTCCTTCCATCTGGCAGCTTCTCTTCTCCCCACCTAGTGGCAAAGCAAGAGGGAGGGGTTGCTGATTGCACCAGGTCTCAGGGCCAGAACCTAGCACCCCCTCACCCACCCCTATCTGAGTGCAGCCAGGCACTTAGTGAGTGCCTGCCCTTCTTTGCACAGCCTCCGTCACTCAGTGAGTTGGTCAGAGTTGGGAGAAGTGCTGAATAACCCTTGAGGGGTTTCCTGATTTGTTTGGTTTGTTTGGTTGGTTGATTTTTTTGTTGTTGTTTTTTTGTTTTGTTTTGTTTTGTCTTTTGAGACATGGTAGCCAGACTGGTCTTAAAGTTGCTATGTAAAGACTAACTCCTGCTCCTTCTTCTGCCGCATCTCCCCAGGGCTGAGATTGCAGGTGTGCTCCCCACTCTTGCTTTCTCAGCTCTATTTCAAGTAGACATGGTTCACTGTTCCTAGATACCCTCCAGAGCTCCCCACTGTCCACGCACCCCTGCAACCAGCCCCTCCTCTCTGTGTCTGTTCTCTCTTTGGCAACTGGGACAAGGGGAGGAGCAGTCTCAGCTCTGCAGAGAACACAAAGATTTCCAAAGAATTCCCAGTGTAAACTCCACTGCTTCAAGCCTGTGTGCCCAGCAGGAGCCTCACCCTGTGATCTTGACTGAGTGAGTCCCATGTCTGCGGTACTGCTCCGGCCTCCCCTGGCTTATAGGTGTGTGGCTGTAGATACCACTCTGGTACAAGAAGAAATCCTCATGTACTTCCATGAGTGCTGTGGGCAGAGACAGAGATGGCGCCAGCTCATTAGCACAGGCTGTGATCCTGAGCATCTAGATCCTGGGACCTCATGTTAGAAACTGATTTCTCCAGGGGTTTCCTGCAAGGAAGAAGGAATGGACCCTCCACTCCTGTTCTCACTGCACCTGGTCCCTAATGCTGTAGTGACCTTTTCGGCCCTGTACCCACCCTCCAACAGGAAGTTTCTGGAAATAGGGAGAGGCTAGGGGTATTTACCTTGAACAGGGCCATTCTCCATTAGCTCCTTCATGATCTCCTTCTCCTGGGTAGGGAGGTCCATCAAGGTAAGATTTAGCTGAGCAAGCCCTCAACTCTTGCTTCTGGCCCCCCCCCCATGTTTATTTTAGACTTACATCGGAGCCTAGGCGGTAGGCAGGCGTGACCTGGTAGATGTCATTGGAATCAACCTGACCATTGGGGCAGCGGGAAGTGGCCTGGCGCTTGCCCCGCCCCATGGCTCGACTGTGCATCATACATCGAGAACTGGTACCGGCTTCATTCTGCTCACGGCCCACGAATGGGTAACAGTTGTCAGATACCACCCTGAAGAAGAGAGCAAAGGCCGTGATGCCGTGGAACCAGAAAGCCCAGGCTCTGCAGGGTGCCTCATTTTCTTCCAGCCCACAACCTGTCGCATACCCTCGACGCCGCAGGAACCACCAAGCACCATCAAGACGCCCACCTCGGCAGCCCTGCTGGTGGTGGGTATCACAGGACAGCAGGTTCTGTGGTGATAGGATGGGTGTCATGTGTCCCATTGAATGGATGGAGACCCGGTCAGATGCAACAGCTTGTGGAAAGGCAAAAAAGTGCTGTCAGAGGCCGGGTCATGTCCCTCCTCTCTGGTGCCAGCTCCTGCCCCTGGACACACCTGCTGTGGAGAAAGCCCAGGAGCCTGCACAGTTGCCCTGGTCCAGTGGCTCCTGGATCAGGTTGGGCCACTTCTCGGAAGCCTCAAAGGCCCTAGGTAGTACTTCCCCTCTGCCCAGCGCCGTCTGTAAAACAATAGTGATGTCACTTGCTTCCTAGCTTGGCCCTGCTCTCCCTCCAGCCCAGGCTTTGGAGGGCTGTTGAAAGTCCAGAGCCTCTAGCAGTTGGTTCTGGAGCTGCCTAGGGTTCAAGGATGGTGCCATTTACTTCCAACTTGGACTTGAGTGGGGTCCCCCAAAGATCACACAGGGGTAACGAGGCTTACTCAATAAATATGGTGCTGAGGCCAGCAGCAGGGAAGCCCAGGCCAGGGCCACCAGCTTCCCACTCTCATCTCCTGCCACTTTTCTCTGTACCTTCAGAAGAGCCACACCCTCCTTCCTGCCATGGCAGTGGCCTCCAAGCCCCAAAGGACTGGGGCGGGAAGAAACAGTTAAGTCCCGTGACCAGGCAGGCCGCCAAGACAAACAGCAGAAAATAGCCGGCAGCCCCAGGGAGAAAGGCAGGGCCAGGGGCTGGCCACCCTGGCCTTCAGCAGAAGTCTCCTGGCCTTTCCCTGTCTGCTTTGATGGACAGCACAAGCCCCGCCCAAGACTGCTCCATGGATCTTTACTTGTCCCCACTCCCCCTTTGACTGGTGGGGTCTGGTGGGAAAACAGAAGCCCCCTCCTCCCTGGGGGCTTCTCTGAGTCGGCATTTTTTTCCCCCGAGAATTGTTGCTCTCTGGCCAGAGCTGGAGAGTGTCCCTCTTTTCCTAAAATACCAAGGTGAACCCTGGCCCCTTGGGTCTTGACCCAGCTGTACTGGGACCAGCAGCATTTTTCCCAGGCTGAGGAGGCGGGAGGGCCTGCTGCCAGAATCAGGTTTAGAAGCTAATCACAACACTGCCAGAGAAGGCACTGATATGTCCAGGGACACACAGCCTCGTCCTAGGGGATAGGCCCTTGGCAGAGCAAGATAAGGTACATCATCCCTGGTGCGCTAAGAGATGGTGGGGATGTGGTCAGGGGCAGACTTACATAAATCTCATTCATATTCATGACAGAGGAAGATGGGCGGATTGTGCCCAGGCGGTAGCGAATGCCCTCATCCAGGGTCATGCCCCAGAAGGCACTATGGTTCCCAGCCTGCCACCTGAAGGAGAGAAGGTGAAGAGAAGTCACAGACCTGGCAAGGCCGGAGCCCTGGAGCTATTCATGATGGCTACAAGGGACAGAGTGTGCGTGAGCTTAGCACAATGACCATGTCTGATGATCATGTATGTGGACATACATGTACACTCCTGTGCCCACCAAAGCCATGCCCAGAGCCTCTCACCCGTAGTTGCCCCGATTGATGGCATTAATCATGTCCGGATCCACTAGACATGGCTCCTGGTCACACTCCCACTGCCCTTTCTCCTGGCAGGTACTGGTAAGAAAAAAAAAAAAAGGCAAAAAAGCATGAGTAGGGCTGGGGGTCTGTGAAGAACCTCGGAGGTCCATATGGGCCTAGGATTCTGTACCAGCAACAATAGTCAAGCCCCTGAATGTTCCCAGTCAGTCTGGTGGTTTTGTATCTCAAGTTCACAATTTTTGTTTGTTTGTTCGTTCGTTTTGTTTTGATTTTAGAAACAGGGTTTCTCTGTGTAGCCCTGGATGTCCTGGAACTCACTCTGTAGACTGGGCTGGCCTTGAACTCACAGAAATCCACCTGTCTCTGCCTCGCAGGTGCTGGCATTAAAGGCATGTGCCACCACTGCCCATCAGGCTTACAGTTCTTAAATTCATCCCCGATGCCCTCAGGACCTCAGCGCTCCTCAGCATCACCAGTGTGGGGGCGTAGCAAAAGGTTCTGCTTAATGTGGGTCAAAGTGAGTTCCAGTTCCTGTTACTTCCTGCATCTCAGACTCAAAACCTGGAGTCACCTTTGACCCCTCACATGCTGATGCAGTCACACCTTAACACAAACGCAGGATCCAGACTATGCCTTGTTCTCTCCACAGCCACCTCCGTCCAGCTACCTTTCACCTGACCACTACTGCAGTCTCCTTGTTCCGGCCTCCGGCCTCTGCCCTATGCCACCCCACATCCGTAAAGCATATTTTTAAATTGGTGGCCATAGCCATCCTGTTAAGCCCAAGTCATGTCATTCCTCTGCTCCAACCCTCCATTGGCTTCACACCATAGAATAAGAGCCAAAGTCCTTGACGGTGACAAGCCTTGTGTGACCTGTTCTCCTGTCCCCTGTCTGGACCTCTGCTCCTCCCAGGCCTGGACTCCAGCCATGGTGGTTGTTCATACCTGCCAAACTCCTGCCCAGGGCCTTTGAGCTGCTCTTCAACCACATCATCCATGGCTCCCTTTCTCTTTCTCCAATTCCTCGTCCAAATGTCACCACCCAGAGAAGCTTTCTCTGGTCGTCCTATCTTAAAACTCAGTGCCCTCCATGCTCTCTGCCCACTTCCCCGACTTACAGTGTCTCTTAGCCACCAACACCTGGTGGCCTACTGGTATTTATCCTGCTTTCATTTTTCCTTTCTTTCTGACAGCATCCATCATGTAGCTGAAGCCCTTCTGCCTCTGTACCACCCACAACAACTTTTGTGTGGTGCTGAGGACTGACCCTAGGGTTTCTTACCTGGACCAGCACTCTACCAACTGAGCCCCAGCCCCAACCCGTGTATCCCTATTTCCTCATAGACTCTTAAGGCACTTGCGCTGGGCGTTGGTGGCGTACAACTTTAATCCCAGCACTCGGGAGGCTGAGGCAGGTGGATCTCTGTGAGTTCAAGGCCAGCCTGGTCTCCACAGCGAGTGCCAGGATAGGCTCCAAAGCTACACAGAGAAACCCTGTCTCGAGAAAAAAAAAAATAACACTTTCAGGTGTTAGGAGAAAAAGCCTAGTGCATGATGAGTATCCAGCAAATATTTGTTTTTTTATTGTCCTTAGGACTGAACCCAGGGCCTTATAGGTGTTAAGCAAATGCTCTTCCCTGGGCCACACCTTGGCCCTCTTTTGTCTATATTTTGAGACAGGGTGTCACTAAATTGTGCAGACTGGTCTTGAAATTACTCTGGAGTTCTGGCTACCTTTGGACTTGGCATCCTCCTGCCTCAGTATCTAGCACAGCTGGGATTATTGGCCTGCATCCTAGCAAATATCTGTTGAGTGAATGAATGACTTGAGTAAGCACAGCCAGTGGCTAAGAATGTAGACTTTAGAGTTCTGATCCTGCTAGCCTGTTTTGTGGCCTTGGGGAGGTTATTTAAAAGCCCTACGCCCTCTATCTATGTTCTTATCTGTAAAGTGGAGACAATAAGTAGTGCCACTTTCCAGGGATTTAATGGCAGGCCCCTGAAGGACTTGGCCTATTCTGGGCACTTTTGGCTATTGTTCACGCCTCAGGAACCCTGGGCCCCCCTTCTGCTCATGTCCAGCTGGCCACACCTCTGGATGTGTAATGGCATTCCAGATTAAAGCCACTGACCTTCCCCTGGTCTGCCCCTCCCACTCTCCTCATCTGAGAACATGGCACCCAGGTCTTGGGTGCCCAGGTCTGTGATGAACCTTCCATGTTCCCCGTCAGCGCAGGCCAAAGACACACATCACAAATGCATCTTCCTGCCCTTCCTCCTCTGCTGCCACACCCATTCCAGGTTAACTCACTCAGCCATCCCTGCCACAGATGCTCTGAGGCCAGGCATCCATTAGTGATGCTTAGACTGGAGGTCTTGAAGGAACATCCTTTATACACACAGAAGCTGGACATGACAGAGCCTTCTCCAATCTCTGCTGCTTGAAGGTCCCACCAAGAAGACCTTACCTTACCTCCTGTCTTCCCCTAAGTGGTGTCCACCCCCCACACATTGTTTGTCTTCACTCACTCCATCAGACAGTCTCCCCCCTCTAATCCAGGGTCCCCTTATCTCCCTCCCCATATAATACCCATAGCAGCTTGTCCTGACATTGTATGTTTTTTGCTTTTCCATGTCCTTCACTACGAAACTATTAGCCCCCATGAGTCAAGGTCTACATGCCTGTCTCCTTCCAGCTGTACCTCCTGGGCCCAACACAGTGCCTGTAACACAGTGGGTCTTCAGTAATTAGGCATCAGCGGGAGGCTTGAATTCTAGGCATTCTACAATGTTTTTACAAGCTCATAACTCTGCTATTACAAGATTCTAAACAGCCTCCTTCCAGGCAACCCAGGGCACCCGCCTACAATGCCACCTTATAAGGTGCCTCAAGGGAAGCCAAGCCCCAATATGGCTGGCTCTCTAGCCTTGGAGCCAGCGGGCGGTGCTCAAGAGAGCTGGAGGGGCCTGTGGGCGTAGGGAGGCCCCCACTTCTACCTTCCTCAATGGCCCTTGGGCCCTTCAGAAGCATCCCTGGTGGTGATGTCCTGCCTGGAAGACACATAGATAGTCCACCACTCTCAAGTGGGATATGCAGGGCACTCAGCCACCAGGACCTGTCCTGAAGGGGTCAGCCAGTGCCTTCCTGTCCCCATCTCTTGAGCCCCAGGGCTGTTTAACAGGTCTAGACAAAACTGGTAGCAGCAGGTCCCAGCATTCCAGAGCGGCCTGGGACAGCAATGGAAACGTTAACCCCTTGGCAGCCACCCTATCAGAACTGCAGAATTTTGCAGATACGCCCCACCCTTCTGAGCACACACACACACACCCTTCCTTCACCCCCCCACACACATATACACACGGCCCCCATTCCCACAGTGACCCTGGCACCCCTCACCCAGTGAGGCAAAGGCAACAGCTATGTGCAATGCATTCCGAAAAGTTTCCTTCTCCCTGGGGCCTCCCAGTCCAGGCAGAGGGAGGGGTGGGGCAGGCTCAGGGCAGCAGAGACCCCACCATTTCCAGTAAGGCCTCCACGTTTCCTACCTGCTCTACTTCCCAGATAAGACTGAGTCTGGGATATCCATGTCCCCTTCCTCCTGCTGCCAGGAACAGGGGTTCCAGGGTGGGGAGAGGGCACATTCCAGGGAAGGCCCTGCTGCAGGCCACTGGCTGGTGGCCAGCTCAGTCATCCCTGACCCTCAACCCGCCCAGGACAGCGGATGCTGCATCAGAGGTTTCCTTCCTGGCGTCCCCTTCTTGGACTCTCCCCGTGACAGCAGAACAAGCTGGGAGGCAGGCCAGCCCAAACCAGGAGGGGTGGAGAAAAACTCCTGGCTTAGGTGTGGCACCCAGCCAGACCACCATGGCTGACCACTCCTAGACTTGTGACCAGAATCCTAATATGAGATGGTGTGGCCAGTTTGAAAGTTTCCGTATTACAGATGAAGACACTGAAGCCCATAGCAGAAAAAGGACATCCTCAGGAATAGGTGACAGGGTTTGGCAACCAAGTCTGTTGGCCACATGGCACTCAAAGTGAGCCCACTCTAGTCTCTCATACTCACCATCGATTGCAGTTGTCCCAGTAGGTTCCGAAGACTGGGTAGATGCGGCCCCCGTGCATGCATCCTATGGGAGGGAGGGAGAGGAGACAGATAAAACTGAGATGACTAGGTCCTCGAGGCCAGGTAGCCCAACACCTTCCCAGCTCATCTAAATCACACGCCAACCCCAACACTCACTGAATCTAAGGACATACTGTATCTTAAGACCTCTGCAGGTCCCCACACCAACTGCCACATAGGAGCTGTTCAGGAACTCTGGTTAGGGCCGTGTTGTTTCACCTGGATGCCAGCCATGACATTCCTGGTACCCTTTGTCACACAAATGAGTTGGGACTTGCACATGGGACATGGAAGGAGCTTAAGAAAAGAAACTGAAGCCCAGGGGAGGCAAGCAACTCTGTTAAGACAACACAGCATTTTGAGATAGCAACTCAGACATGGGTTCTCCTTAGCCCAAAGCCCAGCAGGCTGTGGGAAGGACTTCCTTGATTCTCCTACTGGAGCAGGGAGGTGCAGGGAAAGACCATGTTCAGGGAAAGGACATGTACAGGCGAAGGCAGGAGCAGATTTAGCCACCTGATAGCACGGCCAATCTCAGAGGTACAGAATCCTCAACGAAGGTGAAAATGGCTCGGCTAAAACAACCTGGCCAGCTCCTGGTGCACTCTATCAGCCCCAGGGTGAGTCAGCAGGCGGGGCAGCCACCTTCCCTGTACTGACTAGGAGATAGGGCTCAAGCTTGCCTGCCCTGCCCTAAGGCCACCTTAAGTCCTAACAGGATCTTTCAGTGTTGCTTGAGAGAGTCAAGTAAGACCACAGGAGGGACTTCCAAAGGGTCAGGGAATAAATAGGGTGAGAATTTCGTTCAAAGTTTTTCAAAGCCAGGGAATGTCCATTATCAGCCTTGTTCCCGAGTTTCCTGAGACTGCATTCGATTGACAAGGTGGCCACCCTCCTGGCTATCCTGGTGCCTACCTTGGATGGGAGGGAAGGGGGGTGGCACCCCGAGGCAGAAGTCCCAGAAGTCAGGGCAGCAGTCTGAGACGGTGCGATTGCAGAAGAGATCACAGTAACAGGTGGCTCCCAGGTAGGGCAAGGCACAGTCGTCAGCTCGGCCACGACAGCACATGTCTCGCTCTTGGCAGTACCGGCCACCTGCGTCCCGGATGCCCCGCAGGTGCAACCCTGGAGCCAACTCCCTGCGCCAGCGACTCCGCCTGGCTTCCAGGGCAGCCTGGCCAGCCAGCAGCAGCAACAGCAGCCCCAGCCGACAGCCCCACATGGTGCCTCCTGGTCCGGGGAGGACAGAGGTCAGGGGTCAGAGGTGTTGGGTTCTGGAGACTCCCTTACACACACACGTCAAGTGTGGCTCTCCCTACATGTGTCCTGGAACCTTCCCGGGTAGCTCAGCGAAGCGAAGTGTGGGACCCTGATTCCAGAGTCCCCCGGGAAGAACTCAGTACTAGGTGTCAGTCTGTTCATGGGGGGAAAGGGGACATGCAAGAAGTGGGTCCCCTCCCTGACCTGTCTAGGGACTGTCAAGGGCAAGGAAATGGGAACTGTGACGTGCCCGACACCCATTCTTCTCTCCTGCCCTTGGTCCCTCTACCCCTCTGACACATTTGACTTCGATTCTTGGCTCTGTCTTCCTAGTGCCTCTTCAGACACCTCCTGGCGTGTCCCGTCCTATCTTCCGTGCTCTGAGTCCCTCTCGACCCTCTCTTTTGTGCCTCTCTACCCCGAGCCCTCTTCCCTGAGTATGCCCCCTCCTCCCTGCTCCTTCTCTCTGTGCCCTCTGCCCTCTGAACAGGGAGAGTCCCTACCTGGTGAGGGGTGTGGGCTGGACCCAGGCTGCCCTGCGCGCCTCCGCCTCCAAGCTCGACACTGCCAGACCGAGTCAAGTGAGGAGCGCAGGGCGGGACGCTTTTTGTACCGCCCTGCCGGCAGCACCCGCCCCAACCCCGGACTGCGGGAGGGAGGGGCCGCTTATTGGTACCTGAAGTAGCCCTTGGCTCTCGAGGGGACAGCTTCAGGACGAGCACATGATTGTCTTCCTTGGGGATCTCCTGTCAGTGGAAGCCTCTCCTAAAGCAGCAGAGCTGCAAATCAGGGGGAAAGGATTGCGGACTGACACCAGGAGGGACTTTCCAACCGATTTTACAAGGCGGAAAAGGGAACTGAAGGGGAGCTAAGAGGCTACTGAGACCAGAGTGTAGGACTTGACAGGGACTGAAAGCTAGGGGCAAAAATCTCTAAGCCACCCCCAGGCCCTTCAGGAAGCGAAATAGCCATGCACATCCTTGTCCCAGTGACCCTGGGCTAGGGGCCACTCCAAGTCACAGCAGCTCCCAGGAATGACAGGAATTCCCAATGGATGATTCAGGAAGCTGCCTAGGTTCAGGGCGCTCCGGGCAGCTCCTCCCCAGGAGGTGGGTGCGGTGCGGGAGACTGAGTGCACCCAGCAGCCCTGCCGTTTGTGGGGTCTGCCCTCCCCAGTGCGGTGGGCACCTTGCCCAGCACCGCCCCCTCCGCCAGGCCCAAGGGCATCCTTCTTGGCACAAGGCGCCGTGGAGGGCCCCACATCAAGGGCGCTGGCAGCTGGGGCCCCCTGCAGAGCCCCCTTCCGTTTCTGGCCTAACCTTTGCCTTGCCCTCACACAATGGGGCTTCTGTCCCTTGAGGCCTTCCGGCTGTCACTTTGTGCCTCCCCATTGTGCAAGCTCCCTCTTCCAACGTGGGTTGGGCCCACAGCCAGAGGACTCTCTGGGTGGAGGAAGGACACCACACCTGGACAGTTGTCCCAGCCTGCTCAGGGGCAAGCAGGAGTATCAGGATTCCCTTAGTTTTCCAGGACAGCTCTGTTCTCTCTGTCCCTTCCCCTTATCGGTCACCTCTGCAGAGGGTGAGAGAGCAGCACAAGGGGCTACTTGTGGCTGAGTTCCTCCCTGCTGTGGGGCATTGGTGGTGTGCCCTGGTGACTAGGGTGCAGAAGCACCGAAGGCGCAGACCTATCCATTTGCATCATGCAAGGACCTGAGGGCACAAAGCCCAAAAGATAAACTGAGGCACAAGAGAACAGACTTGGACTGGGATGTAGCTTCCTTGGTAGAGTGTTTGTGAGCATTCGTGAAGCCCTGGGTTCAAGCCAAGCAGCTATAAAAAGCATGAGGCTGGTGGGATGGCTCAGTGGGTGAAAGTGCTGGCCACCAAGTCTGATAACCTGAGTTCAAACCCTGGAATCTAGACGGCAGAAAGAGAATAGATTCCACAAAGCTGTCTTCACACTTCTAGTGCATACATACCGCCCACACTAGCATGTGCACACACACACACACACACACACACACACACACACACACATAAACACAAATAAAGTCTGTATTCCCAGCACTCAGGACGTGAGGCAGAAGGATCAGAAGTTCAGGTTTGTAGCCAGTTCAGGGCCGTTCTGGAGATGGGGGCTGGAGACAGAAAAAAGCACAGACTCATCCAAGGTCACACAGCCAGAACACAGGCTCCTCAGGGCACTGCTAGTGTTCTCTCTCCCCAAGCCTCCTTAGTCACTATGGCAGGTCTCAACACCTACTGCTTGGGAAGCCCCCTTTCCTATTTAATCTCCATCCACCTTTTTAAAAAAAAAAAGATTTGTTTATTTATTATATGTACAGTGTTCTGCCTGCATGTATCCATCTTACTGCAAGGCAGGTTCCTCAGAATCAACCGACATCATGTCCTCTGGTAGGAGGCTGACTCCAGCAGAACCCAGGCATGGGTACCTGCTTTCATGGGTCAATCCCACAGTTTTGAGACTGGAGCCAAAGCATTGGGTCTGTCTTTGCCCAAGGGGTACCCCTTCCCTATGAGCTGCTGTGTAACTGTGACTCTTGGTTTTTTTTTTTTTTTTTTGTGTGTGTGTGTGTGTGTGTGTGTGTGTGTCGCTATGTTTCTTTGTGTCTAGACCTTTTGACTTGTTCTTTTCCTGCTGGTTCTTGTCTGTCGGGGTCTACCAATTTACCTGTCTGCCTGCTATGCTCCTGTGTAGCTGTGTCCCCATAGCTGTATGGTCAGTGTGTGTCCCTGTGCCTGTCTTGGGTCTGTCTGTCCGTGTGTCCAGTGTCTGTCCATCTGTGTAAGCTGCTGCTGGTTGAGTGTGACTGGAAGCCCTTCTTGCTTGTGAACACCTGTCTGCTCGTGCCTGTGGACTAGCTGGATCTGTCTGGGGTTTGGCTTGCTTGTCTGTGTCTGTCTGTGCACAGGAGACAGGAACTTGGAGTAGGGAGGAGAGCAGACCGGATCTCCCCTCCACCCTTCACCCCTATCATCACAGAGTTTGGCTGTGAGCCCACCACAGTGGAATCTCATGACTCACTAGATTCCTTGGCCAAGAAGCAGAGGAAAAGGGCAGGCACTGGGGGTGCCAGACACCCCACTTTCCTTTTCCACCCTCGTGACTCATTCTAATTCTTGATCAGAATGAGACCTTGTCCTAGAGCCTGGGACAGAGCAGCAGGCAAGAGACAGCAGCAAGATCCCTTCTATTGCCCTTTAGTCTTCCCAGGAGGCAGGGGGACTGAGATTCTGTGGTGACTCTGTCCTACCTCAGATGGGACCCTAAGTAGGCTGTCCCTCCCTGGGCCCTGGTTTTCCACCTGTTACCGCAGCCTCCCAGAAGTCTTCTTGAACTTTCTTCTTTCTGCAGGGGAGAGGAAGCCAGCCAGGGCTCCTAGAGTCTAGGGACCGTTCTCTAGAGGCTGAGCTGGGCAGCCATGCTCCACCAGGCCTCTGGACTTAGGTAATCCAAACAGTCCTCCAGCCAAAGCTAGTAGGCTTCTACATGCCCCTTGGTCACCTGCGCAAGTCCGGGCCTTAAGCAATGATGCTGGAGACTGAGTCAAAGCTCCATGCCAGGTGCAGTATGTGGGGTCTGCTGTGGCCTTCTGGCTTTCCTAAGGCGTGGTGATTGTTAAGATACATGGCTGTTTTTCTAAAGCACCCCTGCACCTCAATTGGCAGAGTGCTTGCCTAGTGAGCACAAAGTCCTGGGTTCGATGCCTAGCTCTGCATAAACTGCTGTGGTGGCACATGCCAGCAATCTCAGGATTGGGAAGTAGAGGCAGGGGTTAGGAATTTGAGATTGTCCTGGGCTACATTGTAAGTTTAGGGACAGCCTGGGCTACTTGAGCCCATTTCTCAAAAAAAAAAAATTTTTTTTTTTTCATCAAGGCCTAGTGGTGCACACTAAGTGTAGAGAAGCGTGGAGGTTGTGGAAGAGGAAACACTGGCCATGTTGTGTCATGTTGTGTCATGTCATGTCACTTGATTTGGTGGCTAGTTTTCGTGTCAACCTGATACAAGGTAGAGTCATTGAAGAGGAGCCCAAATTGAGAAAATGCCTTCATAAGATAGGCTTAGGGCAAGCCTGTGCCTATAGAGCACTTTTTTTTTTTTTCTGAGACAGGGTTTCTCTGTGTAGCTTTGGAGCTTGTCCTGGAACTCACTTTGTAGACCAGGCTGGCCTCGAACTCAGAGATCTGCCTGTCTCTGTCTCCCGAGTTCTGGTATAAAGGTGTGTGCCTCCACCACCTAGTGAGCATTTTCTTAATTAGTGATTTATGTAGAAGGTCCCAGTCTATTGTTGGTGGGGCCACCCCTTGCCTGGTGGTCCCGGGTTCTATAAGAAAGCGGGCTGAGCAAGCCATGGAGAGCAAGCCAGTAAGCAGCTTCCTCCACAGCCTCTGCATCAGCCCCTGCCTCCAGATTTCTGTGCTGTTTGAGTAGGGGACAGTGATTTGGAAATGTAAGTGGAGCAAACCCCTCCCTCCCCAAGTTGCTTTTGGTTATGGTGTTTCATCACAGCAATAAAAACCGTAGCTAAGGAAACTTGTGTCAGGCTTTTTGCTTTTGTTTTGTTGTTATTGTTCATTCAACAAGTATTTGTTGAGCTCCAGCTGTGTATCAGGCTCTGTGACAGATATGGAGCATTTCAGGTTGAGGGGCATAGACCCAGGTCCCACTGTGACGTCCTAAAGAGGACGGACAGATAGACACAGAGAGAATCAACAAACAGACCAGAAGTCACAAACACCCAGTGCGAGAAGCTCTGTACAAAGCCTGAGGACCTGGAATGACACAGGTCACTGTGATCTCAGAGGTCAGGCAGTGTCTGAGCTGACATCTGCCCAGGCTGGGACAGATATTCCAGGACACCAGATGCTCAGCAGTGAAAGCCCTGAGGCTGGTCACAGCTGAGTGTGCTGGAGCAGGAGGGCCACTGCAGGCGGGGAAAGATGAGCGGAGGCCTGGGGTAAGCCTGGCTGTAGCAATGAGCTGGGGTGGTCTTCTGCCACTGAAGAGACTGAAGTCTGAGTGAAGCCCAGGGTGATGGCACATGAGGAACATAAGTTTGAGTCCAGCCTGGGTTACCTAGGGAGAACTCATCAATTAATTAATTAAAATGAATGAATTAATTAGTCTTGTTTATCCATACAGAGGTCCTCTCTGGTGTTCAGTAGAGAACAGACAGACTCTCATGGGCCAAGCATGGGTTCTAAGAGGCTGTGTGAGAGGCAGTGGGGGACCCCAGGCTCCTGGTGCTGAGGCTAGAATGAACCAGTGGTAGCATAGATCAGAGATGGGGCCTGTCTGAGGCATATTATGGAGGTGAAATATGCTGCAGAGTGAGATGCCAGGGGCTCGAGAGAATAGAAATCAGGCCTGGCTGCCAAACCTCTGCCCTCCTGCCCACTGAGGGGCAGAGCCCCCTTGAATCTGAGTGGGCTCAGGAGAGCTCTAGGGAGGGAGCCTGAGTGACCTATGAGGGCTCATAGCCAGGGTTGGAAGGGAGAAAGCAACCCCAGGCCTTGGATTCTCCCATAGAGGGGCTGGCAGAGAAGCCAGGGGTAGGGTTCTGCTACCTAGTGGTCCCAGCTACTTGTGAGGCTGAGGCAGAAGGAAGGAAGATTTGAGCCCAGACTTCAAGCAGGCTCAACATTGTGTGACACTATCCCTACCCTGTCCTAGAGGATAGAGTAGCCAGTGAGGAAGAGTAAATCCAGGTGTATCCAGAACATGATGGGGGATCATTTCTGGGAGGGAGAGGGCTGGGGGTGCTGCAGTGGGGGACGGTCTGTTTATGGAAGGCCCTTGGTGCAGTCCCAGCACTGAAAAAGGAAAGAGATGAATTGTGTGACATGAGGACAGATGGCCCTGGATTAGCCAACAAGGAAGTTGGAGCAGGTTGGCTGGAGCAGCCTTACTGGGGGGGGGGGTGACTAGGAGGTGCACCATCCAGTGAATAGATACCCAGCAAGTGGGCCATTGACTTAGGGA